AAAGCTAATAAGATACATGATGCTTACTAAGAAAATTGTAGAAAAGATCTATATCATGTTTGATACCTGTCAAATTCATTATGTTAAACTATATGCGGGTTGCCAGATTATGAAACCCTATCTGATGGAAATAAAGATGGCATTAGAGTGTGCCTGGTGAGCACAATAAAACACTTGAAATCTCCCTTAAGACCCTTTAATTGGGTGTGTTAATTCTGTCATGCCCTCTGTAGGGCCCAGAAGAGATGGACGCTCTTGTTTGGCATTGAAACACCACGAGTCACATTTTTGAGAGCTAGTGACTCTGCTATATTAGATTGGACTTACCCTGCAAGCAAATCCATCTCTGCAAAGAACCAAGGAAAAGGCAAACTTTGCTTGTCTTTTTCACTGTTGTTTGTTTTTTAATATCCTTTTCTGTAAATATTTCTTGCAGCATGTCTTTTCATAAGAATGTTAATTTATGTTTTAAAAACTGAAGCTGAGTGCTCTAATAAATTAAAACGTTTACCACTGTAAAAATACACCTGTAATACACCTTTTAACACAGTAAAAAATTGTAACTTGTACTTTTATAGCTATGGGTTGTGGGTCTTGGCCTGGTCATGAGCATGGCAGCGAGGGATGCAAACATTTTTAAAAGGTCAGAATTGCAATAGTGGGTGTTGTAAATGATGCGTAATTCTGGTAAAGTACATGGTGGTGGCTACTGTTTGGTTACGCTTTCCCAGTGATGATTACTCTCAACCTACTGGTGCTCAGATTGTTGAACTAGATCTGGAAAATATTTACACAAAAGGTGAGGCTGGAGCTGGCCATTCACTGTTAGATTTTTTAGAACTGGCTGAAATTTGCCCCATTTATGGCCAGCTTAAGTTGGTAATTTTCCACAGGTCGCAGTGGTGTCATCTAAGGGTATAATTGTCACAGATGGTATGATGAATTTGCACTGCTTTTTCAAACACACAGCCTACAGAACTGCTGCACTAGTTCAAAGAATACCAAGTCCTTAAATAGTCTCTGTAATTAGTTTGTCCCTACAGTACAAGATTATCACCTGTGATACATGAATGTGTCACTGGTTAAATCACTGGTATTTCTGGTAATAAATCACTGGTTATTGTGATTTTGCCATTACTGTTTGTGCAGACATTATTTTAGCACAAACCAGAAATCAATAGATCTCTACCAAATAACAAACTTTTATGCCTGGCATGTTTTGTCTTAAATCATTCCGCACAATTTACAATGCAAACATGACTAATCATATAAATCACTTTTGCCATAGATTTATTTCAAGTAATACTGCACAGATTTAATTCTGGCTCTAAGAATAGGAATGTCAAACTGTTTATGCAAATATATTTAAATTATGTAATTAACACAAATAACATTATAGTCTGTCTATGATTATGGAAATTAAATATATGATCGGCGTAGTTAGTCATCATGTAATATACGGTGTTTGCATATTTGTTATGTCAACCCAGGAATGCAAACCAAAAAGCAGAAAATGGATAGGTATTTAACCAGGAAAACCTTTATATGGTGATATACATGAAATTAGAAGAAGTGCATCTGTAGAAAGAAAGAGCAAAAGTGACATGAGGGTACAGTGACTATCAAGTCTATTATTTCCTATGAAGGATGTCAAAACTCCTAAACCTCAGTTGTACGGAGGTGTGTTTTAGATTTATTTTACAAGATAAACCATTCATTCTTATGAAAGGTTTGTTTAGCTGTCAACTGGGAGAAAAAACCCAAACATTCTAACCAGTTGTTAGACACTGTTCATTAACTGTATTTTCATGCAGGCTCACAGGGTTTCAGCTTTGGAATTTGCCCTTAATTGCAAGCTTCAGTAAACATTACATACATTCCGTTGTGATTCATCTCAGGTGGCTCATTCCACTGTCAAAAGTATTATTGGGTTATTTATATTTATGTAGACTTCCATGCAGCTCATTTGTCCAGTCGGTTCCCACTAGAGAGATGTCCCAAAGGGAAGTAAGGAAACATCTCCCAATACGGAACACAGACCACAAATAAAAACCTGATAAAGATTTTATTTCTTTACCAATCTGTCCTAAACAAACAGCCACATTTTGGGTTGGAGTTGGACTTTACACCATTTGAATAAAAGTTGTAAGCACCCCGGCATTGTTATGCTTTTGCCCTACTTTTATTGTGACTTTTGCTATATACAGCATGGTCTGCATGATCAAAAGTTAAATTTGTGCAGTAGTCATACACATGGGGGTATATTTATAAAGTGGCGAATGTGACATTTACCAAACATTTACTGTAAATATATCTTGCTGGTGCATCTGTGTTAAATTGCACTGATTGATGCACTAAAGGGCATATTTATAAAGCAGCAAATCTGACATTCACTGCAGATGAATCTTCCTGGTGCATGTTTTAAATGACAGTGATTGATTCATCACCAGTGGATGTTGGTTGAAAGTCACCTTCACTGCTTTATAAATATGTCCTTAAGTGCTCACAGTGAATAATTTCAGTAAATGCATTCTTCATGGTTGCATTCCTTCTTGTGAGTTTCTGTCAGGCCATTTTTACTATCATGAAGGCACTGTTGTGGAAAGATAACACCATGCTTAATCCAGATTTAACATTTCAGAGGTTTTAATCATCCCAAAGGCTTACACAGCCTTTTGCGTTAAAATGTTGTTGCGATCAATGGCATATACTGTAGCACTGCATTTCGTGTATATAT